AGATATAGGATGGGGCAGCTTTTTCAGAGTGGGCAGAAAACGGGCCTTTGGTGTGGGCCTCTAGTCAGAGATTTCAGAGGCCCAGGGCTCACCATTGTGTTAGTCACCTGCAAAAGGTATGCGCTGGCCAAACAGGCAAAGGTGCTCTCTGGGGAAGCCTGCCTGTCCTTGTCAGAGGGTGGCCTGGTTTAACGCTTGGAAAGGCAGGGAAGGGCCTGACGAGAGCCAGAGAACCAGGGGTGGGGGCTGCTGGATCTCCCGGAGATCTGGTAGGGACAGATGGGACTTCATCTTCAAGATGGCACTCCCGCCTCCTCCTTTGTCCCTGAAACATCTGGGCCATCAGGTCACATAGGGCCCCCGCCTTCCCATCCATCCATCTCTGTCTGTTTCTGTCTGCCCAGGCTGCCTGTGAAGTAAGCCGAAGTCCCAGGCCTGGGGCAGTAGCACAGGCCGCACACCAGCCTCTAGAGGAGAGGGATTGCACAGGACCCCAAGAGGAAGGGTGATGTGTTTCTCTGGCCAAGATGGAAAAGGCACACTTTGGCCCCTCCCTCAGGCAAGGGAGGTGTGAGTGTGGAGGGACAGCATGCCCGGCTAGGACAGCTAGGACAGGTGGCCACAGCCCCCAGGGCAGTCTCCTCCTGGCACCCCCAGCCCCAGACTATCTCTCCTCCTCAGCACTCTCCGTCATGTGCGTTGCCCTCCTTATGCTCAGAGCATTTGCTGGCAGTGACAGAACGGAGATTACAAGCTGAATTTCTGCCTGGAAGCTTTCTCCAGGCGGTTGGGAAGTAGGTAGTTATCAGTTCCAGGAAAGGAGAAATCCGTGTATCTTGCAACCCTGAAGCGGTGCCCCATGGGGGCATGCTGGTGTCGCCTCAGACCATCCCACCTCCCTTAGATGGGGCCTGATTAGTGCCTGCGTAGGGGCAAGCCAGCTTCTCTTCTCTATTATCATGTGGGTCCTGTCTGAGGGGCTCTGGAGCCTCCGTGCCACGTTCAGGGTAGCATCTGGGGGCAGAGGTAAAGCTAGAGCAAAAAGACAAGACAGAAAATCACGTGGCTGCACCAGGACACGGGGAAGGAGCTCTGGCTGAGCCTGGGTGGCTCAATCAGTTAAGTGTCTGCCTTCGGCTTGGGTCATGATCTCAGGGTCCTGGGATGGAGTCCCACGTCAGGCTTCCCGCTCAGCGGAGAGCCTGCTTCTCCCTCTGCCTGCTGCTCCCCCTGCTTGTGCTCCTGCTTGTTCTCTCTCTCTCTGACAAATAAATAAATAAAACCTTAAAAAAAAAAAAAAGGAAAAAGAAAGGACACAATTAGAGGCTGAAGGAGCCGGCAGGCAGGGCTTGCACGCTTCCTCGCCCTGACCCAGACCCTCTCTCTCCCCACGCCTGCCACTGTGGACTTTGGCGGAGGCGGGGGTGGTGTGGCCGACAGCCAGAAGCAGCAGCCGTCACACATTGGAGGGCACAATTGTTTCCTTATTATCTAGACTGTGAGCACCTCGAAGACAGGGAGAATATGTGTGTGCGCGCGCGCACATGTGTGTGTGCGCGCACCCGCGTGATCTTTTATGCCCAGACCTCAGTACGCGGTAGGTTCATAATACATGGAGGCTCAATTGAATAAATGTTCCCCTGCCCAGAGGGGTGGCAGAGGGCGGGAAGGAAGCGTAAAAAGCTCCCCAAGAACAGAGCTTTCATCTGCCAAGTTGGCCCCAGACACCTGGGAAATGAGGCAGGGACGGTTGACACTTGCAGAGCTCCCGGGAAAGGCCCACCTAACAACTCAGGGCACATCCTCCTCTGTTTTCTTCTGGCAGCAACGTTTACTCAGCACTTAGTACCACAAGCACTCCCTTTGGATGGGTAAGAAATACAAGAGCAAAGACCAGGGGGGAGGTTGGAATCACAAACTGTCAATGTCTGGAATCGGAAGACATGCCACTCGCTGGCTGTTTTTTTGAGGCAAGCCCAGGACCCGACCTTCCTAAGCCTCATTATCCACATCTGTAAAATGGGAACAACCACCCGGAAAGAAAAAGCCATCTCCCATACATTGCAGATAGGATGTAAATTGGTGTGACCTTCCTGTAAGTAATTTGTAAAAAATTTTTAAAAGTGAACATACCTTTGGATTTGGCAGCTCCACGTCTAGAAGCTTATTCTAAAACAATGATCAAGTTCTGGGGCACAATTCAGCTATAAGTTTGGATGTTACTTATGATAGCAAAAACTGGAAATAATCTAGACAACAACTGATAGAAATCTGGCTGAATAATTATAGTATATCCATAAATGGAATGCCATTTAGCCACTGAGATTATAATGTATATTTTCCTTATATGCAAAGGTGTTCGTATGTTACAAATATAAAAAACTGACTATAGAACAGCCTATATAGTATGATACTGTTTTTAAGAAAGAGGAGTTTTATTCTGCATATTAACTGTGGTTAATCTTTGTATTGTGGGATTACAACTAACTTAAATTTTCTCCCTCTTATTTGTCTATTTTGTCCTAATCAGCATATATTGTTTTGTAATGATAATGGAAATGTTGTATTAAAATAATGACCTTTAGAGGTTGCTTTAAGAGTTAAAGGAGACACTACATGTGCAAGCTTTTGGTGAACTGAGAAATTACAGGGATAAGACAGTCTCTGCCCATGAAGAGCTTACAGTTTGGAAAGAGATGAAAAATACATAAGATAACTATAGCATGGAACAGAATGTGGCAAAAGCTTCCAGCGAATGATAAACAGCGTGTTACTTGGAAACACAGAGGAGGTAAAATTACTTGTGGTTCTAGAGGAAAGAACCAGAATGTTTGAGTTGAAATACAGGACTGAGGCCTCAGGAGAAGTGGGAAGCTGTGGGACGGGTTTGGAGAACGGAAAATGCTAGCTTTTGGGTGGAGAGCAGAGAGCCTGTGGGTAATGGAGAGGAGTGGGGCAGGGCGGTTTGGGGCCAGGCTTCAGATACCCTGAAGGCTGCACTTGGTAAAGTGCCATCAGTGAAGCTCTGCTGGTGTCTTCTATGAGCAGGGAGTCCCTGAAAGTTCTGGGGAAGGAGCTGACATGGCAGCAAACCCCTGAGGGGTAGTGAGGTCCTGCCTTGTATGGGGCCCGGGACTGGTGCAGAATGAGGGCGTCTGCCTGGGAAGCTCAGTCTCGAGGCAGCTGACAAGCTGGAGAGGTGAACTGTGGGGTGACGAGGGGCGTGGCAGGCATGGCCAGGGACAGGGCCCATGCTTGGTTGTGTCACCAGGCATGGAAAGGAAGGAAGACCATCTTCTTGCCCTGATGGGAAAGGGATGGGAAGTGGTGGCAGAGTGAAATGAACAGGACACCTCTCCTGGGTTTGCTGCCGGGGGGTGGGGGAGATACAACCCGGAGCCATTCACAGAATTCACCCACAGCCCCGGGGAGGAGGAACAGGCTGGGAGTGTGTGGAGTGGGACAAGAGTCATCTGGTGCTCAGGACATACTCTTCCTCGGTTGGTCCTGATCCCTTGGACCTCTCTGTGTGGCTGCCCCAGGACTGGCCGTGGCCAGGGGAGGGTGGGGGGCACCTGCCCCTCCTGCGGCTCCGAATGTGTCTCTATTCCTCAGTTCCTCTTGGGAGGAGTCTGGGGTGTGGGTAGAGGGTTGGTGTTAACCCAGGAAGCTTTTGTTAATGGAAATTCATTCACCAACCTCCCGATCTTGGAAGCTTCTCTCAGCTCATCCCATCCTCCTAGCATACCCCAGCTCACTCTTTCCTGAAGGCAAGAATTCATACCCCGTCAGGACCCGGATGCTGTGTCTCTGCCATCCCCAGCCCCAGTGGTGCCTGTGTTGGTGAGCACGCGTGCCTGCACACGCACACGCGCGCCCACGCACACACCCACAGACACACACACGCGCGCACACGCACACTGGAAGGAAGGCGGGAAAATCTTGTTCAGGCGAATGTCTAAGCTTCCGTTTCCCCGCCGCAGCTCCAAGCCCAGGTCACTGTTTAGCTCCTCCTGTTGTCATGTCACTGGTTAATTACATTCTTTACTGAGGTGCAAATGCGTTTTTACAAGGAGACTAAGATGGTGTTAACTAGGAAGGAACTGTGAATGTTAAAGATGCATTTACGTCTGGTTGCAAGGCTGCAGCTCTTGGCTGGAAGGGCTCCCCTAAGCTGCCCTGCGAATGCACCCCGGGCATCAAGCTGCCCTCCTCCCCTCTCCCTCCCGTGACCCTGCCATCCTAGCCCCAAAGGTAGCCTCCTTGGGGTTAAATTAGCAACTCAGTCCATGAGGAGAAAACCAATGTGTGTGTCTGGGAAGTGTCGGGCGAGGCCTTAGAACAGTGCAGACCACCGACCTTGGTTTCTGGACGTCTTGGTTCATTTCAAATACTGAGAACCAAAATAATTCACTTCGATCTAAAAATAAATCAGTAAGTGGTCCAGCCAGAGCCGACTTTAAGCCAAGGCTGTCCTTCACTGCCCATCTCTGCTTGGGGTCCATTGCCCTCCTGATTCTTCCTCCCTGCTGCCCACAGGTCCCCTTCCCCCCACCCATTAACATCTCCCCAGAACCCCAGCCAAAGCCTGCCCCTGGAAAAGGGCCCGAGACTCAGCCACACATCTGAACATGATGGCTACTCGTCCTTTGAGTTTCCTACAGTTTCAAACAAGTAGGCAGCTCCGCACTAACTAGGGCCCAGAATCCCTCAGACTTGCCCGCACTCTCGGGGAGAGAGGGCCAGGTGTACAACTGGTATCAGGAAACCAGGTGGGTGACCACAGCGTACTGCAACTGTGTGACAAGGACGTGGGCTCTCGAATGACTCGGTGGGCCTGAGCAGCCACACCGAGGAGAGAAACTGGCATCGTAAACATGGCAGGGGGTTCTGTGGAGGAGATGGCATACATCCCTCAGAGCCAGAGCGCGTGCCCCCTTGGTTTCTGATCACCCGGGGCCTCTAATCCCTTCTGAAAGCTGCTCTGCCCTCTTTTACAGGTGCTTCGGCGCTAGCTGACAGGAAGAATTTCCGGCCCAGCTGGGAGTGAGAAGAGGGAGTGAGTCTCCTGAGGGCCATCCTCGAGTCGCCAGGATCACCCAAACAGTAAGAAATGCTTCTCCATCCTTAAACACATAGGTAAACCCTGCAGGCAGATGATCTTTTCTTCTGGAAACTTCGAGAAGCTGCCCATCCCATTAGCTGGCTCGTAGCTCTTATAAGCTGGGAACCCACAGTACGGTATTGTTTTTACGTCTTTCCTCCTCAGCTCCTTGAAGACAGGGCCAGAGCTGTGCCTCATTCCTGCGCCCCTCTCTTTTCTTCTCCGTAGTCTGGGAATAATGAAGTGTTGTAGACGCGGATGGTTGGGCTGCTGCTTCCATCCACCATGACCATAACCATCATAAACCTTCTGGAGCAAGCGTTATCACTTACGAATTGCCTGGGGGTCTTTGTTAAGAGGCACTACCTGGGCCTCGCTCCAGAGAGTCTGCTTTTCTAAGCCGAGGTTAAGACCAGGAATCTGCACCCCAAGTGTTTTTGATGAACACGGAGGAAACTGCATCCCAGGTGTTTCTGATGAGCTCTGAGAAATAGTTCTTTAGAACCTATAAGGCATTTTGAATGGAGACTCATTTAATCCTCTTATCAGATAGGGTTTTTTAAATCCCCTTAAGTAACTTCATGATCTCAAAGACATTAAGTACCAGTATAGGCAGGGATTTAGAAATCCAGTTATCCAAAACAACCCCTCTTTCTTTCCAGTACTCATGATAAGGACTGGATCTGTTGTGGTGAGGCTGGGCCCCGACTCCAAAGGACACTGCCCAGGACTTCATGTAAATTTCCCTGCTGTCTCAGGGCTGCCGTGACCTTACGGGTCATCAGCTTTCATTTTGGGGGCAGTCATTGCCCAGTTCCTCCCAAAAGCTGGTTTCCCCGGAGAGAGGGAGAGGCAGACAGTACTGGAGCAGAAAGGTGAATGTTCTGGGGCCAGCTCCCCAAGGTAGGCAGGCCACAGGTATTCCGGGGGGAACATGGGCAGAACTGGCCCCCCCCCAGTGCTCATCCTGGTTCCTGTGCTTTCTGGCCATTTGGGGAGCTCTGTGTTTTAGGGGTAGGGAGGTGTGGGGAGCATGCTGAAGCCTGCTATGGCTCCTAGAGGTAAAAGCCAGAGAAAAAGAGAAAAAGGCCTATGTAGGGAGCTCAAGTCTTCACCCTAAGTGTAGGTTCTACAATGCCCATTTCTGGGACAGAGATCGCTACAGACGATGGTGGTGGTGAGGCCTTAAAGAAGATGGGAAAATTATAAAAATAAATAAATAAGAGAGAGAGAAAAGAAAGAGAAAAAAGAGAGAGGGTCAGAAACTCCCGGTGAACCCATGTGGACAGGTGTCACTGCCAAGTCTGGTGGCTTTCCCTGGGCCTGGCTCTTGTACCGAGAGCCCAATTGCTCTCCACGCCAAGACTGCAGGAGCTCAAGTCCGAACAGGCCAGACCAGCCCGGGAGAATGGAGGTGGCTCTGGCCTCCTCCATTGTGCTAGGTTGAAGGGAAGGATGGAAATGGGTTGAGGGACTGCTCACGCCTGCCTCTTTCCATAGAATGGAAAGTTTCCGTGGATGACTTAGAGCAACCTCATATAGCCCTCTGACATTCCCCCTCCCTCTCCCTCCCCATTCCTCCCCCATCCCCCCACCCCTCCACTGCCCACTGGACTATCTCGCTGAGTGCCAGTCTGGTCTGTTCGGGGACTAAACGCAGTTGACACCATCGCTGGGATTGGTGCAGTCGGCAAGGACAATTTTTGCAGCTAATGCTGGAAGGGTGGTAATCAGAGGAGCCGCCAGCTGTCTCACTTAAATTCTTAGCTCTCTCGCTCTCTTTTTTTAAAATCGTTTTGCTTACATAATCCACCCCCTTTTTATTTTCTAATTCTCTCCTTGCAAAGCTGGCACCAGAGGGGAAGGGCTGGGGCGGAGGGGGTAGCAATTACACATCAGTTTGGGGAGCATTTACATTTTGCAATTACAATTTAAAAATAAGCCTCGTTAATGAGCTCCACGTGTCAACGACAAACCCTAACTGACATACTCTCCTGGGCTTGCCTGCCTCCCCCTGAAGTCAGAGGCTCGGTGGAGGCAGAGGTACCTAGGGAGACACAGGGCGAGGCCAGGGGCAGCATCGGAGGGCCCACAAGAGCCGTCAGTGTGCCCTTGAGGTTGGTGGAGGACAGGTGTGGGGCTGGGCACCTCGAAACCTAGAATTCGGCGCTCCAGCTTCCCTCTCTTCCCTGCACTCATGCTCCGTCTCAGCCCATCTCCCACCGAGAGCTGACACAGCAGGACCTTGTGTCCTCAGCTGTGAGAAAGGGAGCTTCCACTGCTGGTACCCTCCGAGGTGGGAATTTTCCGAGCCCTGTAGAGCAAACATAACACCTAGTCCCCAGAAGCCAGCCAGCCAGTGTGCCTGGATACTCCTGGACTGGGTAGAGGGACTGATCACACAGGCAGGGAAGGGAACACGGGAAGGGACCGGGATTAGTTGCATCGCAGTTGGGGAAGGACACATCTCCTCTTATAGTTGGCTATCCTATATTTCATGAAGCCCTCTGATCTCTTGGGCTGGGACTTTGGAACCAGACACATCCAGATTCAAATTCTAGCTCTGATATTCCTTGGCTGTAAGGTTTGGGGCAAGTTAAGTAACTTGGGTTTTCTGACTAGCATTGTCTTTATGCAATTGGGATAATCGTATTTACCTTAGAAGTCTTCTTTGAGGATTAAATGAGGCGATATAGGAGAAAGCATCTCATCCAGCAGCTGGCACAAGAAATGTCCCGTCAAGTTCAGCTCCTCACCATGCCCCTCCCCAGGAGCCCCAACATGTTTCCTCCTGCCCCCATTTCCAGCCACCAGGGACATTAAGGAAGGGCATTCTGGTCTGATTTTGCCCCGTCTCCCCTCCAAGTCAAGCCACCTGTACCCTGAGCAACTCCTGAAGGGGATCCCCCCACCCCCTTCCACTCACACCCTGGCCAGCTCCCTATAGGATTCTCTGCAGAGCCTTGGCCTCAGGCCTCTGTTCCCACCTTCCACCTCTCCGGGGCTGGCTCCCGACTCCGGCTTTCAACAGCCCAGTTCTCTTTTCTGGACAGAACTTCAACCGAGTGACCTTTTATCAGGCCCCACCTATGTGCTTTTATCTGTGAAATGAGGGAGGTGGGCCAGGCGCTCTCTGAGTCTTGACCTCTGTAAGGCTCCAATGCTCCTTCCCCAGAAGCTTCCACAGGAAAGGCTTTCATCTCCTGAGCAGCCTCATCCAGGCCAGGCTTGGGGCTGACCGCGTATCATCAAAAACTGACACATGGTACTTGAAACAGATATAAAATAGCTCTTCCCTGTGGCAAAACCAGAGACGTATCTTATACAAATCTGAGACAAGGAGGACTTCCAAAAGCAGGCCCCTTGACATAGGGCGGAGAACACAGAAAGGAAGATATCTCACTAGTTCAGGTGCTTAGGCAAACCATTGTTAAATAGCATGTTTTACATACTGTTCTAAGAACTTGCTTTTTTAACCTAGGCTCTGTAATGGACAGCTTTCCAGGTCAAAATAGGTTGACTCCATTGTTTTTAACCACCACATAATATTCTCCTCTGTGGATATTTCATTACTTATTTTAGGAATTTTTAAAATTAGAAGTAAAGGGTACATGAGGGAAAAACAGTGTAAGAGATATAAAATAGAATAAAAAGGGTCCCTTCTTTCCCCTACCTCTACCCACAAGGTCCAAATGACCCAAAGTCAACTACAATTAACAGTCTCTGATTTTAGTTATTTGGTGGCTGGTGTTTCCTGTGTTGTGTTATGTAATATACTTAAATCCCTCTTTCTTAATTTGTGTATTTATCTATTCACTCCTTGCTATGCAAGCTGGGGAAATTAGCATGTATTCTCCCCTTCTAGATTGACTTAGTTTGATAATTTTTATTAAACCATATTTGCTACTATGTTTGATGTATAGTATTATATATAATATAGTGTGTCTATATATTACATGGTATATATTGCATAGCACACAATGATTTATATCATGAACTCTATGTTATGTGTAGTCCGGATAATAGTAGCTTTATAGAGTTATAAGATGTACAGTCTCACTGTAGCTCCCTCTGCATTCCTAGTACAGGTAGAGTGTAGGATAGAAATATTATCTGACCACAGAACTAAATAGTGTGATTTGACCAGGGGAAAGGAAATGGAACCGTCTGTTGTGACAACTTGGCCGCTGCAGTAGAATCTTCTGAGCACCCCCACCATGTACCGCCTGTCACCCCCCCACCCCCCCATCCCCTCCAGCCTCCTCCCTCCCACTGGCTCCCGCTGGACCGCCACCATGTCTTGCGTGGACACTATTCTCTTCGTCTAATTCCTCTGTTTTACTGAAATACCACCTCTAATTATTTTGATAGGGATGAGTGGGAAATAAACTCTGAGTTCTTACATGTCCAAAACAGACTCTACTTTGCCTTCAAACTTGATTGATCTTCTGATAGAGCTCAGAATCCCATGTGCAAACCCTGTTCCTCTTAGGTTTCAAAGACATTATCTTACCGTCTTCCTATTTCTGATCTTGCAATGAGAATTTAGGCAAACTTTCAGTTTGTTTTTCTTTTGCAAGTTCAAAAACGTCACCACTGTGTGCTAAGGCTTGAGATTTTATTTGCTCCTTTCTTTTTTTCATTACCCCTGCTCACGCCCTGGGATCACTTTCCATCTGAAGTCATCTGTCTTGCTTCAGCTCAGGGAAATGGTCATTTCATTATTTCTTTGCTTATCCTGCTCACTTGTCTCCGTTTGCTCCTGGAACATCCATTGCCCAGCACAGAGCCTGGTACATAGTAGATGCTCAGTTAATGCTTATTGAAGTTATTGCTTGGGACCTAGATTCTGCTTAGGTCCTTATTTTCAACTCACTGCATGGACCTGGACAAGTTTTCTCATTTGAACAGAGAGGTCAGACCTCGTGACTGCTCGAGAGGCTTCCACTCTGTGGGTCCTCTGGCAATCTGCCCTGGAGCTTTGAGTCCCTGCTGATCCTGG